GTCAGGCAGGCAGGCAGGCGAGTGGTTAGGAGCCAGCGGTCCTGGATTGCGAGAGGGATGTCCGACTGCTGGTTATCCTCCCAGGGGTCCTGGATTGGAGAGGGTGCAGGCTGGGCTGAGGATGCCCCCCTCCCATGCATGAATTTTGTGCACCGTGCCTCTAGTGTAAATATAAAATAAAATAGACATTAGGAAAAGAAACAAAGAGAATTATTTCACAATGGAAAAAGGGTGAATACATCAGAAAACTTATAATAATTATAAATATATACAGACTTTACAAGACAGCTCAAAATAGTCCCAGACTGTGAGAGGGCACAAGTGGGGCTGAGGGAATACCCCCCCCCCCCCCAGGGCACAAATTTTTGTGCACCATGCCTCTAGTGTAAATATAAAATAAAATAGACATTAGAAAAAGAAACAAAGAGAATTATTTCACAATGGAAAAAGGGTGAATACATCAGGAAACTTATAATAATTATAAATATGTACAGACTTTACAAGACAGCTTCAAAATACATGAAGAGTTGGAGATTCCAATATTCTAATCTCAATAATAGATAGAGCAGCTAAGGAGAATATCAGCAATGATATAGAAGGCTTGGATAAGAGTACCGACCAATTCTACCTAATTGATATGTATAGGACACTCCTCACCATGGCTGTAGAGTATACATTATTTTCATGTACACATGGACCATTCTTCAGGATAGACCATATGCTGGACCATACAACTGTAAATCCACTGGTAAGTGGATAAACAAAATGCACAGCCATACGACGGAGTCTTATTAAGCTAAAATGGAACAGACTGCTGACACAAACGAGAACATGAATGAACCTCAGAAACCAAGTGAAGGGAGCCTGATGCAAAAGACTTCCTAGCAGATGATTTCACTTACACACAGTGTCCAGAAAAAGCAAGTTTACAGATGCACAGGGCAAACAGGGGCTCTCCTTGGGCTAGACGTGGGAGTGCGAAGTAACCGCAATGAGCACAAAGGAACTCTCCTGGGCGATGTAAATGTCCCAGAACTGGATTATGGTGTGAGTTGTATAATTCTATGAATTTATTAAAAATCATTGAATTATACACTCAGTGGGGTGAATTCTGAATAAAGCTAATGAAATACCTAACTATATGAGATAATAAAGATTACTATGAAGAAAAGTAAGACAGTAAAAAAAACTAGTGCAGTCATTAGTGTGGCTTGCCAAATACTTTCAATCCGCTCCTTCTAGGCACACAGTAGGGCTGTACTTTCTGAACTCCTGGTGTGTAGTTGGGGCAATGAGTTGTGATTGGAGTATGACTTACAGACAAGGATTTCATTGCCAACATGAGAACCTTCTAGAGTTCAATCTCTCCCTTTGCCATCTGGCCTGGCTACCAGCTCCGCCTGAGATAATGGCTGTGCCTTCAGCCTGGGTCTCTGAGATGCTGGTGGACAGGTTACCTGTGCCCCAGTTACAATGTGAGACAGACAGGCAGTTAGTGAAAGCCTCAAAGAAGGTGGCATTTGGGTAAAAGTCTGAAGGAGAAGAGTTTGTGAGCCACGTGATCTCTGGGGGAAGGTGCGCTGGAGAGAGGGCAGAGCACACGGCAGACCTGGCACACCTGAGGAATACCGAGGCGGCACTGCTGGTGCTGAGCCAGTGGGGGTGCACACGGAGAGGACGTGACGGGTGATGGTGGGCTGGATGGATGGGAGTCCACGGGGATGTGTTGTGCTAGTGACAGGTCTATCAGGTTTAGGCTTTAAGAGCTTGCTCCAGCTGCAGTACTGAGAAGACATGAAGGGAAAGGGTAGGATCAGCAAGACCAATGAAGAGGTGAGCGTTGACTTCATGCCCTGCTGCCAGTCATTCTTCTGCAAGCAATCCAGACCTCAGCAGTCCTATGCCTACTACTTCCAATAGCTCCCACTGCTCACGAGAAAGCCCAAGTTTCTCAACGCGACACTCCCCTACCTTTTCACTCATCAACTACCTCACCCCTTTCTACCCTTCAGTCCCCTCCCTCCCAGGCTTCCATCTCCTAGGACACACTCTTGCCTCCCTACCTGGAAAGGCCATGTGAACAAAGCCAGAGTCGAGAAGGCATGAGGGAGGGGTGTGATGGAGGAGGATGCCCTTTCCAAGGTGCCCGTTGGTGCTGAAGGTCGGCTTGTGGGTCAGGAAGTTGGGGACCTGTAGGAATAGCTGGGTCCAGAGCTGCTTTCTTCATTTTGGACACTCTGGCCGATGTGGGCAGAAGCCACCATCTTTCTTGCTGCTGTGGCTCAGGCGTGCAGTGGCCGCTCATGGTGGGGAGTGCCCAGGGGAGTCAGCTACAGGAGAAGCCCCGTCCTTAGGAGAGGCGGCCAACCGTGAGCAGAGGTCTGGGAGGCTGCTGAGCAAAGTGGGTGCAGCTGGCCGGGACAGACAGGGGTGTCACAGGAAAATTCTAACGTGCTAGAGCAGCCGTGGGCAAACTACGGCCCGCGGGCCGGATCTGGCCCGTTTGAAATGAATAAAACTAAAAAAAAAAAGACCGTTCCCTTTTATGTAATGATGTTTACTTTGAATTTATATTAGTTCACACAAACACTCCATCCATGCTTTTGTTCCGGCCCTCCGGTCCAGTTTAAGAACCCATTGTGGCACTCAAGTCAAAAAGTTTGCCCACCCCTGGACTAAGCCACAGGTGCCCATGGCGGGGTGCAAGCCTCAGCACAGGCCCCCGAAGGAGACCCAGACCTGGCTGGCCTCTGGCTTCCTGCTGCAGGTGGCTCCTGGTTTGACTGCACTGTGGGCGAAGTAAAGTGAAGTATGGCAGCACAGTTGAACCCCAAAGAACCTTCTGTTTACCCAAACTCCCTGAACATCTCAGTTAAAAACAAGCTCAGGTTCCTCAAGAGTCTCCTCCAGAATCTATGGAGAGGGAAAAGAAAGGAGGGGGAGGGAGAAGGGAGGGAGACAGACAGATAGAGACCGAGACAGACAGAAGGAGAGGGAGGGAGAGGGAGAGAGAGGGAGAGAGAGGGGAAAGGAGGGGGAGGGAGAAGGGAGGGAGAGAGACAGATAGAGACTGAGACAGACAGAAGGAGAGGGAGGAAAAGGGAGAGAGAGGGAGAGAGGGAGGGAGAGGGAGGGAGAAGAGAGAGAAGGGCTGACCCAGACTAAGGATGGGCGGGAAGCCACTTCCCCGTGCTGACTGACCCCTTTTCTTCCCAGTGGCGTTGCCGGGCCTTTTTGACAAAGCTGCCCGCTGTGTGCGATGCATGTCACCATGTGGACGACCCCTAAAGCTATTACTCTAAGTCAAGGAAGCAGTCAAGACTCATGTCGCATGAGTCTGTTCACGTGAACTATGCAGCACAGGTAAGTCCGCAGAGAGAGAGACCCGCAGGGGCCACGGCGGAGCGAGGGGAGGGGGTTTCTTTGGGTGATGAAAACATCTGGAGCTGGAGAGAGGTGGTGGGCCACAGACACTGTGCATGTAATTACATGGAATTAACGCGTCACTTAAAAATGGTTAATTTTATGTGAATTTCACTGTAATAAATTACTCCAAGTAAATGCTTAAGAAGTCAGGTATGCATGCAGTATCTCATTTGTCTTTCTTTTTTTTAAAAAATATATTTTATTGATTTTTTACAGAAAGGAAGGGAGAGGGATAGAGAGTTAGAAACATCGATGAGCGAGAAACATCGATCAGCTGCCTCCTGCACGCCCCCCACTGGGGTTGTGCCCGCAACCAAGGTACATGCCCTTGACCGGAATCGAACCCCCTTGAGTCGCAGGCCGATGCTCTATCCACTGAGCCAAACCGGTTAGGGCTGTCTTTCTTAAATGATTCGCATCTGCACCCTGAAGTCAGGAGACATGAAAACCTGGTGGCTGGAACCTTCCACCAAAGCAAGTGAGTTTTCCCTTCAAATCTGATGATGCTAGAGCGTGGAGATTTTACAGACCCACACGCATTAGGACCGAAAAGAGTTCAAGGCCAGACTCAGCTGCTCCCCACCTATTGCAGAAGGGAAGTCCAGAGCCATCAAACAGAGCCTGACTCCTCACCCTACAAACACCGCGCAGGCCCCGCAAAGGCTGCAAAGGCTGGGCCACCCTGGGCTCGTGCCCGTGCTTCCTGGCCCGCTGAGCGGTAGGCTCCCCTGGAATTGAGGAATATGCTGATGCCTGGGACCCGCCCTCAATCAATGCGACAGTCTCCAGGATTTGAAACGCCTGGGATTTTACAAAGCTCCTTCCTGGCTCTAAAGCACAGCCGGGTTCAGGGCCACTGCCTTCCCTTTCCCCGCCATGTCTGGGATTTCAATCATCACCCGAAGGGGCCAGGTTCACAGAACCCGAAGCATCGCTGCACAGCCACCTGGCCAACGCCGTGCGGCCCAGCAGCACCTGCGTGATTCCCAGCTGGCACCCCCACCAGAGGGCGTCCCACTTTTAAGTTACCCCCCCTCCCCCCGGGGCACTATGCTGGGGGCGACAGCCCGTCCTCTGGATTTCTGTATAAGCACCTGGCTGGACTGTTTCCAAGCGGGGCCCAGCACAGCCTGAGGAAGCACAGCCTTCCCCGGAAAGGATGCGCCTTACGCACCTCGGTCTGCACGTCCTCAGAGCCCAGGCTCCGCCAGCCCTGGCCACACCGCAGGCGCTGCTGTCCAGGCAGACCTGGAACCGTTCCCCAGTTCGGGGTGCGCACTGCACCTGGGCCAGTCCCGGGCCCTGGCTGCTCCCAGCCCGCCAGCTGAGAGGGCCCCTCCCAAGAGCAAAGGTAATCCTCCTCCACACAGAATGAAACGGAATTCTTACCAAAATATCTGGCCGCAAATGTTCTTCTTTTGCTGGAGGCCGTGGGCAGCATGGTGAGGGTGGAGCTGCAGTCTACGCACAGGGTCCTGGGGCATCGCTTTTAGGGAGAAGCAGCCACATCCTCAAGCAGACAGGCAACTGCGTTAGGCAGTGCAGGAGGCAGCATCTCCAGGAAGCGGCTTAGAATGCCCGCCTCGGCGCTTCCTTGGATTTCAAACCAGAGGCCTCGCTGTGAGGAATCGGTCCCCTAAGTGCAAGTGTCCCCAGGGATCGGGGAGGGCCTTGGGCAAGTCACGGGGCCTCCAGTATCAGTTCCTCAAAGGGTGAATGAGAACAGCGATGACAAGGACCCTAGGACGAGTGGGGATGGAGCTGGTAAAGGGCAACGCCTTCCTCTCGGGTCAGACACGTGACCTTCGCCACCTGCTGACCTGGACTGGGAAGGAGCTGTGCTTTTCTGTGCTGGAAACCTGGCACAGACAGCGATCTCCAACCTGCCGCCCGGCCTCCAGAGCCACCCCCACGGCTGCTGCGGGCACAGTCCTTTCGGTGGGCACGGGGCCCAGCGTGCCGGCACCCAGGCCGGGCCGCACCCTGATCCACTGGCCGCCACAGGCCTGCTTCTCGTTCCATTCTGGGAACTGGGCATCACTGACGGTTGTAGAAAATCGAAAAGAGAAACCCTGGTTAGGAGACAGCCAAGTGAAGTCTGTGCAGCTGGCCTCACTGACGTGCTGCGGTGGTTGCACATGTGGAGCTCAGAGGCGGAGGGGCAGCTGCTGGGGGATGCCAGACAGACCTTCCCGACGCAGCCTGTCTCCCTGCCTCTGCCCCTGCCCCTGCCTCTGCCCCTGGCCCTGCCCCTGCCCCTGCCCCTGGAGGACAAGTCTTCTTGGGAAGCCAGCGTCCATCTTCCCAGAGCCGGGGGGGCCTGGGACCAGGTCATGGGGGAGCGAGAAGAAAGATGCTGGTGACAGCCAGATGTTCCAGCGCAAGGCGCCTCTGCTATGCTGAACTTGCACCGTGTCTGCGGTTCCAGAACCAACCACTGTTATGCAGATGAAACAAGCACAGCCATGCTCCTGGCTCCTGGTGGTGGGGCCCTTTCCCACCGCAGGGTCCCTCTCACTCCTGGCTGCCCCAGCAAAGTTCAGGCTGTGGCTGCCAGCGGCTGCTGGACAGTGCTCAGCGGGCAGGCGGCCTGGGCAGCGCTGTCTTGCTCTAGGCCTTGGCAGGGGGTGGACAGCCTCTGCTGCTGGAGTCCTTTGTGCACAGGAATCCTCTGTGCCCAGGAGTCTCTGTGCCCAGGAGTCCTCTGTGCCCAGGCACTGGCAGCAGAAGCCCGTTGGGGGAGCCTGGCTGCTTGAAGAGAGCAGCGGACCCTAAATCAGAGATGTGGTCAGGCCCCAGGGCCCAAATGAATGGGTTGGCTTGCCCAGGGGGGTGGTGCAAAGTGCAAATGAGAAGAGAGATGGAGCCTGAGACCAAAACATGGAGGTGCCCAGAGTGAAGCCTGAGAGCCTTGAGGCATGACCTTCCTCTGTGTCCTCCTGCAGGCAGGGCGGAGGGTGACAGCAGGCCTGGGCGGGAGGAGGGCCAGGTCTGGGACGGGAGGAAGGAGGCCCAGGTCAGGCTGCAGGAGCTTTGGGAGGGCGCTGCGCCGAGCGCAGGTGTCTCCTCTTTCTGGGAGCACAAAACCAGACGAGCTACGGAAACGGACTCCCTGATATAGTGAATGAAAGTGCGGCCTGCCCAGCTCCATGCTGAGTGTAAGTGCGTTCCACGTGTTGCAGGGACGTAACACCTACTGTGCAGGTGTTCATTGTGATCTGTCTGGCGCCTTCTTATTCCTTCTGGGTCTCCATTTTCATCTTTGGTCGAAAGAGGATAGTCAGGTAAGAACCTTTTCAGTGGCTGGAAACCAAAAGACAATTAAAATGGGCTTAAAACACAAGAAGAGACTTATGGTCCCTTTAGTGGGAAAGTCCTCATAATACGGACTTGACACATGGCTAGATTCAGCAGCTTGACAATACCCCCCCCCCCCAGTTCTCCTGTTTGCTTCCTGGGTGTCTGCTTCACCCCCATCAAGGTTTCCTGATGAGTAAGGAAGGCTGGACCCAGCTCAGGAGCCCATGCCCCTCCTCCATGTCTAACAGTCTCACACCAAGAAAGGACGTTTCCCTGCTGTCTCCTCAGGAGTGCTGGGAAGCTTCCTCCCTCCCTCCCCAACATCTCCTTCCTCAGGGCCTTGATGGGCTTGCTGGGCAGCCAGTCGACCCCTGAACCAACCCTGACGCTGGGTAACGAGAGGTGCTGATTTGCTCATGGAACCTGGATGTGTCCCAGGAGGGCGGAGCGGGCTGCCACAGGCATTGTCCGGGCTGGTGTGCGAAGGAGGGAAAGCTGGAATAGATGCCGGGCACGATGACTACGGGAGGGGAGAAGGGCTCTGAGAATACAATGCTCACTGCAGGGTCATCTAGGGCACGAGAATGAGACTGGCCCCGGGTGTGCGTGTGTGCCTGTGTGTGTGTGTGTGTATGTGTGTGTGTGCACATGCACGCACGCGCCTGTGTGTAGCGATATTAGTTCCTCCCTTGGTTGGATTGACTGCCCTTACTTTTGTCCCCAGCCTCCTCCCTTCCCCTGGCCAGGCGTGTGCTCTCTGGCCAGGTCTGTGCTCCCACCTGAGCTCTGCTGACCCAGCAGACAATGAGCCAGGCCTCTGTGCCCTGGGAAGACCCCTGCCCCTCACTTCCCCCACTATATTGGGGGACAGTGTGTATGTGGGGGGGGATGATTGTACCAGGAGGGCCATGGTTGGGGCAGTGACCTTGCTGACCTCAGCCTGCAGTGGGATGACAGCCCCAGAGTGTGGGCATCTGCCTTGGGGACAACATGGGTGGGAGGGCAGGTAGGGTGGGCTCTGCTCACCAGCCAGCAGAGAGCAGCCTCCGGGGAAGAGGGGACAAGAGGGCTGCTGTCAATCACTCAGCCAGCCCTCACCTTGCCCTCACCTCCCTTCAGTGTTTAGGACAGGCCACACCCAGCTAAGCTCAGCACAGCGGGAGCAGCTCCTGGGCCTGCCAGTGCCCTGGGAAGGGCAGCGGTGGAGCTGGGTGACTCAGCTCGGAGCAGCTCTGAGCGAGGGCCGGTCAATGGGTTCAGGGTGGGAGCTGCAGGACGCCAGGTCTTCCTGGACTCAGGCCAGGTGCCCTGCATGGTCACCACTCCGCCGCAGGCATCATTAATGATGACAGCTAGCAGTTAGGAGGTGCTGACTGTGCACCAAACCCACAGCAGCCCCAGGTGAGTGTTATGGGGGGGGTTGAGCCACCCCAGACCCACAGTCTAACAAGGTGGGTGGGGCTCCAACCCAGGTCCCTCATCCTCATGGGAAGATGGCCGGCTTCCTGCACTGGCCTAGCCGCCAGCTCACCTGCAACCCTCATCATCTCCCACAGGGCCCCGGCTGCGCCGCGCGTGAGCATGGGGCACTGAGCACCCCTCACAGGATGGGCATCTGGGCTCTGGCAGGGGGGGGGGGGCTGGATCCCAGGAAAGCTGCCTGGGCATTGCCCCACCGGGGTCTACTCGCCTGGTCCCAGCAGCCAGACACCTGCTGGAGGGCCGCTCAGGTTCCTGCCCCTCTTCTCACCCTGTAGCCAGGCCCCCATGTGACCATGTGACCAGCCCGCAGGGAAGGCAGGCAGGACCAGAGGATGCCGCCCGGCCGGCTGAGCATCATTAGTCAGCACCAGGCTCCCTGGCTCCTCGGTGCCTCTGGGGAGGATGCGCGGTGCCCATGTCCTTGGCCCGCTAAGAGCCTGAAGCAGCCTCAGCTCAGGAAATGTTTCCCCAGGAGGCCGACCTCTGCCAGGAAGGGCTGGGGCAGGGAGGCTGAGCCAGGGACGCCTGCCTGGAGTTTGACTTGGTGCAGAGCGCCCCCTGGCGGGCACCAGCCCCTGGACCACAGCTTCCCTCCAGCCCCATCTCGCATTCCCTCAGGCTCTGGGTCACCAAGCTCCCAGTGGCCCCACCCTCACCTGCAGCCTCCCCTCCCCTGGAGCCGCGTGGGGCTGGCAGGGTGTGTGGATTTCTGGGGATTTCCACACGGAGTCTGCTCCGAGCAGCTGGGCTCCGCACCCCTGGCCTAGTGATGTGTGCTCGATATGGGAGGAAGGTAGGGCTGGAGAAATCATCAGAAGGGGAGGAACCCTCAGGTTGCAGAGGGGAGATCTGAGCCACTTCTCAGGCCCAGCATCACCCAAATCTCCCCACTTTGTGGATGGAAACTGAGAAAGGTTCAGCCAGCCTGGCGGTGTGGCTCAGTTGGGTGAGTGGTGTCCCAGGCACCAGGAGGTCACCTGTTCCATTCAAAGTCAGGGCACATGCCTAGGTTGCGGGCTTGATCCCCAGTAGGGGATGTGCAGGAGGCAGCTGACTGATGTTTCTCTCTCATTGATGTTTCTATCTCTCTCTCCCTTTCCCTTCCTCTCTCTGAAATAAACAAAAAACATATTTTTAAAAAGAAAGGCTCAGCCAATTTCCCAAGGGGACAGATTACAAGTGGCTTTGCTGAGCTCTGAAACCAAGGCCAGCGGATTCAAACCCTTCGCAGCCCAGGCCAAGGAGAGAAGCAGGCAGCTGGCCCTCACTGACCTGGCTCCCCAGTGGGGCTCTGGCCGGCAGACAGCCCCCTTCCCTGAGGGCGGGCCAGCCTTCCCCTCACTGGGGCTCAGTGTGACCCTTGCTCTCGTCCTCCCTGACCAGGCGGGCATGGCTGGCTATGGACTGGTGCACTGGGAATCTGGTAGGGCTGGGGCTGGGGGGGAGGTTCATTCAGTTCAGCCTCCTGGAGGCGACGATGGCAGAGCAGGCCCACCATCCACCAAAGCACGTGGAAACCTTCACCGACCCTCGGAGGGCCCTGGGAGGGGGGCAGGCAGGCTGTGGTGGAGAGAGGTGCCGGCACAGGTGAGGGAGCACCCCTCCTGCCGCAGGGCCAGGACTCGGCTGCTGAGGAGCGAGGTGAGTGTGCCGCGTGGAGACCCTGCAGGCCCCTCCCATTGGGCCCAATCGGAATTGGCAGGCCAGGCCTCCGCTGTGCTCCCCGAGGAGGGCGAGCTCCCGGCCCTGCCTGCTGGGAGGCGGTGCAGGCTCAGCTGAGAGAACAGGGCATTGAGGCGGCCCATTTCCCACCTGCAGGATGAGGAGGCTCACGTGCCCACCCCAGGGGACGCTGTGAGGACGGAGGGAGGTAAGTCAGGCGAAGAACGTAGCTCAGGGCTGTGCACTTGTCCCCACGGCATGGCAGCGACACCCACCATGGCCCGGGGAGTGCCCGTTCCTCCACCTTCTTCCACCAGCAGCAGCATTAGCTGGGACCATGTTTGGTTCTCAAATTGAGTTTCCTGGACATTTTTGTAAATTCTGCAATTTAATTTACACGATAGATTGAAAAGCAAGCCATTATAAGTTGGGATGACCACCTGACAGTCAAACACCCCTAAGCGGTGTTAGTGCCCGAGTTTGCATTTGTGTTTAAAATCGAATTGGCAGCAAGTGGCAGAGAATCAGTCTCTTTAACGCTTAGTGTGTGGGGCTGGCGGCCAGACTGTGGGTGCCT